GTGATTGTAACTAGTACGTAATTATGGTCATAAATTGTATACGCAGTAAAGTTCACACACGGGCTAATCTATTTAATTAAAAAAAAACGTAAAATGATGTTCATTCAAATATGAACTTGTATAAAAGTATTGTTGGTCGTGAAAATTGTAGATTATTCACTTTAACCCTACTGGAATTGTTAGCAAACCAACAAGGATTATGTATGCTTTGATACCACTTGTCAAAATTAATGAACGAGATTATATGACACAATATGAAGTAATAATCACAACACTAGAAGAACTCAAGAAATTTTGGCAGAGGAATGAAGAATTTATTATTATGGAAAAAAAATACAATAATATTGTGTTTACAATATTGACTAACTCTCTAAAATACATACAAAGTCATATTAAAGCCAAGAATTTCGTGGAGCATATATAAAACCCAAAAGAATATGTTTTAGATGAAAAGAGCATAAAAAATCTCATCAAAAGAAGGAAATAGATTTTTTTCCGAATATACGTTGCTTGGGCGGCAACCTTACGCTAGGCAAGCTGCTCGAGCAACAAGTGAGCGGTAGCGATAGCACTCCGATGCTACACGTATAGCGCTCAGGCGCCTCATTTCAAGTTCAAATTGATTTCAAGCGTCCAATTATTGCCCCAAAATATTCCATACCTCTTGAACACCTCTTTCAACCAATTAACGAACATCCAACGAAATTTGAGTCACATAATAAAAGAAATCATGGAATTATTGATCATTAGTGTTATGGGCCTTTAGAGGCCCTCCACCTCATCCATCCAATTTGTCCGTCACATGTGAATGAACTGATTTCGTGTTCACACATGGCGAATGAACTGAATTTGTATTAAACGAACTGAATCCAATACCCCAAACTAAAACACTACTATTCACTGTGTAGAAGAGTCACGCTCATCCGCCACACACAACGGATGCAAAAGCCCGCACTCTGCATTTACCACACCCTACATTCACCTCCCCACATTTGCCAAGATCATTTATGAAGAGATTTCCCCAAGATCAAATCCTTAGCTTGATTGATGGGATGTGTGGTAGAATCCAAACGGTCAACTCACACTGCTATGTTAGGAAACATTTAATACCTGCCAACCTATGGATGACAGATTGACGCCAATGAAGGGATGATCTGCCTGTGATTCAAAACCACGTGTTCCTCCATCCAACGGTTATCATCTCCCTTCCTCTTAGTATAAATACTCCCTCATTAGGGTAAGAGGGGGACTTTTTCTACTCTCCAATTCCTAACCTTTAAAAAAATCATAACTCTGAAGAATACACACTCTTAGACACGTTCCAGCGACCACCTTACCACCGGACGCCACTTTCCGATTACGAAATTACTAACTTGACCGTCGAAGTACTTGTAGCCATTTCCACCTCAATTGAAAAAGGTCATGAGTGGCTAACGGTGTGTTACCGTGCTCATGGATGAGTTTACGTGGAGTATTATTTTGTTGGCCACGTATCGTGACCATTTTTTGGGGTCAATAGATTGATGTCGTCTGTGGGAATGTTGCTGTAACCACGCGTATCCCTATGAAAGAAAAAGTCTATTGGAATATTTGATTGATATTCTCCATTGAAAAATGGATTTATTCTTAAAGAAAGAACAAGTGAAAGTCATAAACTAAGTTTCCATTATTTGGAAGAAGAGAATTTACAACTCTAAACCAATGAGTTCAACAATGAAGAAGTGAACCCAATGAGGGTATAGGGAATCTCTGAAGAAGAGATCATCTGGAATAATGTCACACACCAAAGGCCCAATCATCTATGTCGAAAGGGCAGAAGAACTGTTGCACGACTAACTGTCGAAGTGGCTCAAATGGCTACCAACATGAGAAGCATCATCTTGGAAAGTGAGAAGGCACTAAAGAAGTGACCTTGAATAACAAGACCCCCTAAAAAGGGGTAGGCCTCTGAAGAAGAGGTCATGAATAAGGAAACCCTCTAAAAGGGAGGTCATTGATATGAAGAGACTATTGGAAGACCCTTTTACAAATATGAGGCATTCGAAGAAGATGCCATAAATGGAAGATCCCTAAAAATTGGGACATATTTGAGGAATGCAAAGGCCTCATTTTGGCCATACAAAGGCTTCATCCTTGTCTAGGCACCCCAGTTGTGTAAGGCCTCATCATTGCCTATTTACTTCAGCCATACAATGGCCTCACTTCGGCCATACAAAGGCATCATCCTAGCCTATGTACATTGACCATACAAGGCCTCATTATTGCCTAGGCACTTCGGCTATGCAAGACCTCATTATCCCATTCCATGGATGAACCATTTACCTGGAGGAAGCCCTTCATAGAGATGCATTAGCCACATATAAGGATGTCCACTTCGATCGAAAAGGTGCGTGACACCCCCATGGGGTCGCCTCTAACTCCATTGAGGATGATGCTCTCCATAGGTGCACCATCCACCATGGAGAACGCCATTGAAGAGGTTTGTGACACCCCTATAGGGTCACTTCAACCAAGAATGTCCACTTCAATAGAAGAGGCTCGTGACACCCCATTGGGGTTGCCTCATCAATCATTCGGAGATGATGTTATGCTCTCTACGGATGCACCATCCACCTTGGAGAACGCCCTTGAAGAGGCTCGTGACGTCCCCACAGGGTCACCTCAACCAAAGATGTCCACTTCGATAGGAGAGACGTGTGACCCTCACTGGGGTTGCCTCATCAATCCTTTGAGGATGATGCTTTCCACGCCGGAAAACACCCTTCGCGGAGGTGCGTGAAGCCCCTGGGTGGCCACCTCCGCAAAGGATGTCCACTTCGTTAGGAGAGGCGTGTGCGCCTTCCCTGGTAAAGTGGTTCAGCGAAGTGTTTACACCCCCATTTGATTTAATCATTTTGAAGCAATAGTTTACACTCGGTCTATTTATTAGGCGAAGTGATTCAGCGAAGTGTTTACACCCCCATTTGATTTATTCATTTCGTTGCAAGTGTTTGCACTCATTGTATTTGTTAGGCGAAGTGATTCAGTAAAGGGTTTACACCCCATTTGATTTATTCGTTTTGGTGGTATTTACACTCATTCTATTTACTAGGTGAAGTGATTCAGTGAAGTGTTTACACCCCCATTTGATTTATTCATTTTGGTGCAAGTGTTTACACTCATTCTATTTACTTGGAGAAGTGATTTAGCGGAGTGTTTACAACTTTTCTTAAAGTTGCTATCACTCAAGGCTTCGTCCTACAGCTAGGATTTCGCCTTTACCAGAACTTTCCTTGAAGTTGCAATCACTCAGGGCTTCATCCTTTTGCTAGGAATTTGCCTCTTCTACAACTTTCCTTGAAGTTGCAATCACTCATGTCTTCGTCCTTCTACTAGAACTTCGCCTCTTCGACAACTTTCCTTAAAGTTGCAATCACTCAGGGTTTCATCTTTCAGCCAAAACTTCGCCTCTACGACAACTTTACTTAAAGTTGTAATCACTCAAGATTTCATCTTTTAGGCAGGACTTTGCCTCTGCCACTCCCATCCTTGAAGTTGCAATCATTCAAGGCTTCGTCCTTTTCCTAGGACTTCGCCTCTACGACAAATTTATTTAAAGTTGCAATCACTTAAGGCTTCATCCTTTTGCTAGAATTTCGCTTCTACCACAACTTTCCTTGAAGTTACAATCACTCAGGGCTTCATCCTTCAGCCAAAACTTCGCCTCTACCATAACTTTCCTTGAAATTGCAATCACTTAGGGCTTCGTCCTTCTACTAGGACTTCGCCTCTACGACAACTTTCCTTAAAGTTGCAATCACTCAGAGCTTTATCCTTCAACTAGGACTTCGCCTCTTCTACAACTTTCCTTAAAGTTGAAATCACTCAGGGCTTCGTCCTTCNCTTTCCTTAAAGTTGAAATCACTCATGGCTTCGTCCTTCTACTAGGACTTCGTATCTACGAAAACTTTACTTAAAGTTGCTATCACTCAGGGTTTCATCCTTCATCTATGACAACTTCCCTTAAAGTTACAATCACTCAAGGCTTCATCCTTTAGCCAGGACTTTGCTTCTATCACAACTTTAATTGAAATTGCAATCACTCAGGGCTTCGCCTCTACCACAACTTCTTTTGAAGTTGCAATCACTCAGGGTTTCATCCTTCAACCAAGCCTACGCCTCTACCACAACTTTCCTTAAAGTTGCAATCACTCAGGGATTCATTTCTACCACAACTTTTCTCAAAGTTGCCAACACTCAACGCTTCGTCCTTCCGTCTCGCTTCTGCACACATTTTCGTCTCTTCTACAACAACTAACGTGTACACTTGATAAAATGACATGATATAGCCACATTAATAAAGTCCATGCATTATATAAATATTTATACACGAACTTGAGGGATTGTTGTTACAAGTCTTCAAAGGCCCTCTAGTTCGTCCGCCATGTGTGCACGAATTGATTTCGTGCTGCCACGTGGCGGATGAACTAAATTTGTATAAGATGAACCGAATCCAATACCCCGAACTGAAATGCTATTACTCACTGTGTAGAAAAGCCAAGCTCATCCGCCACACACGACGAAAGAAAAGGCTCGCACTTTGCATTTGCCACAACCTGCATTTACCTCCCCACGCTTGCCAAGATTTTTTATGAGATCTCCCCAAGATCAAATCCTTAGCCTAATAGATGGGACATGTTGCAAAATCTAAATGGTCAACTTACACTGCTCTGTCAGGTTAAAATTAATACCTGCCAACCTATAGATGGACAAATTGACGCCTTGAAGGGATGATCTGCCCGGAATCCAAAGCCACATGTCCCTACATCTAACGGTTTTCCTCTCCCTTCATTTTAGTATAAGTACTCCCTTATTAAGGTAAAAGGTGGACTTTTTCTGCCCTCCAATTCCTAACCTTTAAAAAAATTATTAACTCTGAAGAACACACACATATACACACTCTTAGACACGTTTCGGTGACCACCTCACCACCAGATGCCACTTTCTAGTTACAAAATTACTAACTTGACCGTCAGAGTGCTCGCAACCGCTTCAAACTCCACCGAAAAGGTCCACGAGTGGCTAACGGTGTGTTACCGTGCGCAAGAAGGAGCTTACGTGGAGTATTATTCTGTTGGCCACGTGTCTAGCCATTTTTCGGGGTCAACAATTAGTATGGATACATGAGATTTGTGGAGAACGTGAGATCTCATTCCTAGTATAGAGGAGACAATTTGGTAGAAAGTTGACACCGAGTGATCGCGAATTCTAAAATCGTAAATGGTGTAAATTTCTTTAAAGAGAGTTGTCACAACTTTGTTTCTTTCTCTCTTTGTAAATTGTAATTTATGGTCGGAATTTTCAAAGTATGCATTTAATTATAGGCATGAAATTTGTATGGAAAAAAAATAAATTTTAGGAAATTCAATTACCTAGAACTTATTTATATGGAAATTATTAATTAAATGTGTTTGATTAATTTTATTTTCAATTTAAAAAATATTATGCTTGTTCATTTTTAATTGATAGGTAGATGAGAAAGAGATGGTAGATTATATAGAAAATAAAAACTACATCTCACAACAAAAAAAATATTTTCTTTGTTTTCAAGGAAAAAATGGTCATGTGACCAAAATTAGGAAAGTATTTTTCGTAGAAAAAATTGTCAATCAAGTAGAACAAAAGTATAAAATTAGGTGGAAAAAAACACATTTTTCATGAAAAATATTGACAATCGAACGCACTCTAATAGATAAGGATAATTAGCAGAAATGGTCCATATCG